AGTTTATTTAGTTTATTTAGTTTATTTAGATTATTTAGTTTATTTAGATTATTTTGGTTATTTTATTTAGTTTATTTAGTTTATTTAGATTATTTAGTTATTTAGTTTATTTAGATTATTTGGTTTATCAAGTTTGTTTAGTTTATTTAGTTTATTTAGATTATTTTGGTTATTTTATTTAGTTTATTTAGTTTATTTGGATTATTTAGTTATCTAGTTTATTTAGATTATTTAGTTTATTTAGATTATTTGGTTTATTAAGTTTATTTAGTTTATTTAGTTATTTAGTTTATTTAGTTAATTATTTTTGCCTGTAGTTGAATATCTCGTCCCCCAGCTGTTTAAGAGCCTCGAACTGTTTACTCTTCGGACGGTCACGGTTGCGAAGGCAGGCCAGGTGAGCGCAGTGGATCCATTTACCTTAAACAGATTGTAAGCGTAATTTCAAGTAACCTTCAATTAAAGAGGGGCATGGATGATTTACAACGGTACCCTTTAAAGCGTTGTCTATTGAAAACTGTATGAGTTATTTGTAATTTTCTCTTTGAAAATTGATTCTTTATAATGCGATTTCTCTATAAAATGACGTGCGCATTTTGCTGCAAGAACAAAAGAAGAAAATAAGCTAGAAAAGGGACGATATTTTCCACATCATAACTCAGATAAAGTTTTAAAGGGTTCTGCACTGGTGTGATCGTACATGCCAGGTTAAATGGAGGTTCATTTGAAATTATTTCTACAGTACCTTCTCTAACAGGTCACTTTAAGCAAACTGTGTTATATTTAAAACTTGGTTTAGAATATAGAATATGGAATATAGAACATGCATCAAGTGTCCCATGAGCGTAAAAATGTCCAAAACTAAATTTGTCTGGAATTTGCGTTGCTTGTAAAATTCGCAATAAGATTTTTTTCTTCGGCTGGAAAAACTAGGTCTAATTAATCTCAACTAGTTTTCAGTCAAAAACTGAATTTTTACCTTTCCCATTATTGTAAAGGAAAGGAGGAACCTTCTGTCTAATTGTATCATCCAGCTCCTTATAGTTCTTGGTCAGCATAGCTTTCTTAGACAGATCATACAGCAGACCACCACCAGACTATATAATATAGACAATATATAGTTCTTGGTCAGCATAGCTTTCTTTGACAGATCATACAGCAGACCACCACCAGACTATATAATTTAGACAATATATAGTTCTTGGTTAGCATAGCTTTCTTAGACAGATCATTCAGCAGACCACCACCAGACTATATAATATAGACAATATATAGTTCTTGGTTAGCACAGCTTTCTTAGACAGATCATACAGCAGACCACCACCAGACTATATAATATAGACAATATATAGTTCTTGGTCAGCATAGCTTTCTTAGACAGGTCATACAGCAGACCACCATAGACTATAAATTAACTTACTAAGTTGGCCAAAGCATAAACAGGACTATTAGCACCTTCCGCTTGTCTTTTAATTCCTGCTTCATTATTCTCCTGAAGTTAATAAATTTTTATTTTAACCCTAAACAGGCTGCAGGGGGCGGTGAGCGCCCCTATAGTTTTTGTCCTAGCACTCTCTTTTTTGACACTATCACCGTTAAATTTTGTGACTTTTAATGAATCTTAATTTAAAGGATTTTTTTTGCATTTTTTTAAATGTTTAGGATAGGGTACAGGACGGTAAAAAGTCCGGTCTGTGTAAAAAAAAATATAAAATAGCCCATAACTTTTGGGCCGGACTAAAACTACAGTTCTAAAAATTATATTTTTGAAAAGCCCGAGCAAAATGGATATAGAAACATGTGTCACACTTTGATATCTGTTTAAAACAAAACAAAAAAGGTTTTTTACATTTTTTTACCCCTTTTTTTGGCATTTTGTTCAACCCTCCCTAGAGCCCAAACTATTAAAGTTATCGGTCTAATTTTTTTCAATGAGCTGGCATCAAAAAGTTGGGCTATGTATATGCATTTCAAGTTTTCAACCCTACACCTATGCTCTAAGGACTGTTTCTGGGGCTTTACATAGATTCAGATCCCCTCAGCCTTTTATCTTAATGGGTATTATTTAAGTTTCTCTACAAAATATGAAGAATAAGGAAGACCGCAAGGGTGCTATAAAAAAAACACACATTATTGAAAAGCAATAATAACGTAGGATTTCATTTATTTTAACTTTTTTTTCATCCCACTTGTACGCTCAAAAGTTATCTATAAAGTTAGTGTTAAGTTTTTGATCAATTTAACAAAATATTCACCTCTTTTACAAACAAAGAAAGAACAGCTCCCATCCTACTCAACAATATTTTACTCAAGTTTTCTAAAAATCATTTTGTGGAAATCTGAAAGTGTTGTTTTTATTTTTTTAGAATAATATTCCTTGATTTTGGTAGATTTTTATTAAACGAACTGTCGATATGATCTCAATAGTTACTTAAATACCAATTCACAAGAGTATCTTTACACCTTAGACCGTTACTAGGATAGAAATGAATGACATTTTCTTGTTTGTTTATGATTAAAATATATAATAATAGTGTAAACATGAAGAGCTTATCAAGCAAGTTCTTTTTATTTTAATAATATTGATGGAGAAGAAAAACCATTTAACAAAATAAAATCCTAAAAACTTGGGAATAGTAGAAAAAAGGATTAAAAAATACAGTGTTAAAGGCAGTGACCGGCAATGTATGGTGGTTGAGCTGAGATTGCAGTATTGTAGAGACATTTTGAGGATTCATTTGAGGCATTTTAAACGTTTGAAGATCTATAATTACTGAGTTTGAGCGCAAAGTCGACGTTCAAAATAATCCATTTGGGTGGGTACGTTTTGAGAATCGGTTTTTTGTAAATTATTAAATAACGACGACAAAAAATATTGTAAAATTCTAATGTAAACTAATTAGATGTTTAGGAACATATTTCTCAAAGAAATTTATCAATAAATCAAAGTTAAAATAAATTATTTTTCATCATTATATTGAATTTCTTTTTTTCTATGAAATTGTTCGCAGATTTCTACAAATTCTTCAAATGTCGTCTTTTCAATCCAAATTCCAGAAAATCTGTAGGAAATCTTTGTGAATAATGAGATATTATAGAAACTAATAATTGAATTAGATAACTCATTTTCGATGAAAAGTTTACAGTAGAATTTTTGTTACATTTTTTGTCGTCGTCATTTAATAATTTAAAAAAAACTGATTCTCAAAATGTACCCACCCAAATTAATAATTTTGAACGTAGACTTTGAGCTCAAACTCAGTTATTAAAGATTTTTAAAACGTTTTATATGTCTCAAATGAATCCTGAAGAATTTCTCCACAAAACTACAGTCTCAGTTCAACTACTATACATATGCACATACAAATATAAAATATGAAAAATAAAGTATGTAACTTTGTATCTGTAATTTCATGGTTTCCAGCACACAGTGAATTTAGGTTCTGGTGGTTGACACGCTGGAATCATAAGATGAACATCAAGTGCGACAACGCGTTATTGTGACGGTCAACTTAATAAGGGTCTGAGAATATATACATTTGACCCATAACCCTCGTCTTCTTGATGCCTTTACAGCATAAGATTGAATAAAGCTCGCATGGATTTTGATATGTAGGACTGAGTTGAAGAGAACAATATGAGAACATAGTGTGTACAAATATAAAGAGGTTTTCTTTCATGGAAGAGTTAAACAAAAATCGTACAAAATTACATAAAAGATTGAAAGTGCAAATACACACCTTCCATTCCTTGCGTTCATTAATATTATAATAATTAAAAACATTTTAGTTGTTTTTCCCAAATTTGTTATCGTTATTCATTAATTTGTCATCGTTATTCATTAATTTGTTATCGTTATTCCTTAATTTGTTATCGTGATTCGTTAATTGGTCATCGTTATTTCTTAATTTGTCATCGTTATTCCTTGATTTGTTATCGTTATTCCTTAATTTGTTATCGTGATTCGTTAATTTGTTATCGTTATTCGGTAATGAAAATACAATCACTACTGACGAAAACAACTTTTCTTCTTTCAATTTCAAAGACTTTTTGGTGAATGAGTTTCCGTTAAGAGAGAACCATTAGAACTGCATAAAGTTGAGTAGAGAGGGAATTAAGAGGTGGATGGGGGAATGTTTAGTATTCCCCCCGGTTAGCAACCAATGTTTGTACGATATATTCGTCAGGGGAAATTAGTTTCTTTTCCAACCAATTAATCAAATAAAAATTAAAAATAAGAAAAAACATTCTTGTGATTTCATTACTGTTGATGCATTAATTCGACCCTGTTCAAAGTACGTCCATCGAAGGAATTATCAAAGAAAAAAATCCCCATTTGTCAAACAACAATTATGCATTTGTCAAACAATTGTCTATTTGTCAAACAATAGTTATGCATTTGTAAAACAATAGTTATGCATTTGTCAAACAATAGTTATGCATTTGTCAAACAATATTTATGCATTTGCCAAACAAATAGTTATGCATTTGTCAATCAATGGTTATACATTTGTCAAACAATAGTTATGCATTTGTCAAACAAAAGTTATGTATTTAACAAACAATATTTATGCATTTGTCAAACAATAGTTATGCATTTGTCAAACAATATTTATTCATTGGTGAAACAATAGTTATGCATTTGTCAAACAATAGTTATGCATTTGTCAAACAATATTCATGCATTTTTTAAACAATTGTCCATTTGTCAAACAATAGTTTTAAAGGAAGTTTCGTGAATTAATTTTTGTATTTTTGGTTTGCTTTAAAGTTCAACAATAAATTTTGTTATCAAATTTATCTAGTTTGAACTTATTTCAAATACCGTTTCTCGCTGATTATCAAGTGTTGGTCTGATGACAAATCGGTCGGCCGATATTAGCTGATAATTAATTAATCATCTGATTTATATATTCATCTATATATAATACTTTGCTTGGGTTTCTGTTTGTCTGTTTGTTTGACTGTTTGTATCCAATAAACGTCAAAACGGCTAAACCTAAATAGGACATTACGTGACCCTAGGGAAGATTTTCAAAAATTTGCCTCTAACAAAATTCGATTTTTGAAAATTTTGAAAATCCTCGAAATTTGTTGTGAAAATCCGCGAATTATTTTAGTTTTGTTTTACGATGTACACAAAGAGAACATNTATCAGTAGATACATTTATTTGCATATATATTGTAAAGGAAAAAAGTATTCTTTTATCAGCTAATTACATTAAAATCAGGGGCTTAACCTTACCAGCGAATCCCGTGACCATGTCTTACATTTTTATTAGCCGACTATGTACTTCTAACCTGACTACATGCAACATATTAATCAGCTGATTCCATATTTATCAGCTAATTACATATTTTTAGCTGATTATATATTTATCAGCTGATTACAATTTCTCCGCTGATTACTTATTGATCAGCTGATTATAGATTTATCAGCTTATTACACAGCTATCAGGTGCTTATTTATCAGCTGAAAACATATTTATCAGCTGATTACACAACTATCAGCTGATTATATATTTATCAGCTGATAACATATTTATCAGCTGAAACACATTTATCCGCTGATTACCTTTTTATCAGCTGATTAAACAGTTATCAGGTGCTTACACATGGATCAGCCGACTACAGGTTTATCACTTGAATATATTTATAGGTTAATCACATATTTATCAGTTGATCACAAACTCATCAGCTTATTAAATATTTAACAGCTTATTTAATATTTATCAGCTGATAAAACATTTATCAGCTGACGAAATATTTACCGGTTGATAAAAGATTTCATCCGCTGATAACATATTTATCAGCTGATTACACATTTATCATCTGACCACCTAGTATAAGTGTGGATGGATCCTGCCAGGAATGCGGGAAGGAATCTAAGCTCTGGAATTCAGGAATTAATGCTCTCAAATATTTCAAGTATTGACTTAAAGTCAAGATTGTTTAGATTAGTTGGAGTTGGATCACACCTAACTCATCCTCGACCTTAAAGCGGCACTTTGACAACACGGAGATCTGTCCGTTTGTGTGATTAAACATATTAAACATATTAAACATATTAAACATATTAAACATATTAAACATATTAAACATATTAAACATATTAAACATATTAAACATATTAAACATAGTAAACATATTAAACATATTAAACATATTAAACATATTATAGATACACGGTTACTCACAAAGAATGAGACTTCAGAGATGATTATACTGAATTTAATTAGTCCGTTTTATTGCATTCAATGAACATGGCCATTGTAGCCCAAAACTGTTTGATTTCTGTTCTTAATCATTTAGTTAACCATCACAATACTCAATTGAATGCAGAAACCAAAAATCAAGTATTAAAGCGTCATATTTTGATAGAATTTGCGTCGTCTTTAAAGTTTCATCCTTTGTGGGTAACTCTGTATTCATTTGAAGCGACCCCCAAGATTGACAACATGATATCCTTCAATACTTTATCTGAGTAACAATAAGGAACAATACATCGGTGTTTTCTATCTTAAAGAATTAATGACACTTTTACAGAAATTACCCCCAATTATAAAATATCAACTTTCTCTTGGAAAAATCCGGATAATTTCTTCATCCTTAATGAGACAAAGATTTGAAGGGTACTTTTCTGGATCGGTTTTATTTTCATTGGGCCTAACTTCTTAAGTCGCGTCGAAGATCTTGCAGCTGTCAATCACGTGACAAAAACTGTCGTCAGAGTTGGGTTGAAGATTGGGTCTTAAAGTCTGGTTTAATGAATATACGGCTCGAGCTGAAGTTTTTAAATCGCGGG